GGAAAATCTCAACGAGTTCTTGCCACGAGTTACCAAATAAACTGAGCAACTTGCTCGCGCAGGTTGCAACTTAAAACTATCAATCAAAATACCAATGTTCCGGCGGTTTGCAAAGTTCCTATCAAAAGAGCATGCGGTTTGGCTGTATTTATAAACAAATTTTCTGGCGTTTCCAATTATTTATAAATAAGGGGAAAATGGCATTTTCTAAATAATAAATTTACAAACGGCGCCCCATACTTCTCCAGGCCATTTGGGGTCTAAGGCTTGATCTTGGTATGTCCGTTCATCGCCGCACTATCAACTTTATCCTGAAAAACACTTCTTCTTTTACGTGTATTGTTCCTGGTCAATATTTATGGCGGCAAAGTGATTACTGCTATTCTACTAGGTTATATTTTCCTTCTGGACTACTTCTGGAGATCTATTCTTACGTTTGTTTCCTAATGCAAATAATTGAAATCACTAGAACACTGACTGTTGTTTATTTTGCTTCATCTTAACACCAATACTACTATGAGAGTGGAGGCTTTTTCACTGCTACTCTGGCTTGAGCTTCTTTCGGTGTGTTAAAGTGATTCCTCAGTATTGCGCATCCCTACTGCGCACGATTTTCGCGTCATCAACGCGTGCACGTGTATGACATAAGAGATTTCCCTCAAGCTAAGCAAACGCTCATTTTCTCTTAATTAAACGAGCACGGTGACATATGTTTGTTATTGCATAATTCTGGTGTACGAATTGTCCTCTTTAAGAAAAAAATTTTCGGAAGGAAAAAGAGATATGACTAAAAGAGAGCACAAAACCGTCACTTGAGGATGCGAATTATGACTTTGAAAACAACGATTCGAGGAACGTTTTGAGTCAATGTCTTTTAGAATTGTGTGATTTTCCCATAAATTTTATATTACATTGTTTCATGCGTCCAAGACTTTCTACTTGTCAAGATTTTTTTCAAGTACATTTCTTTCCTAACCTTTGCTTCCAGCTACCGCAAAATGTAGCTTGAACTGATTAAATAACGCGCGTAGTTAGTCATAAATGGGGTAAGGTTGGTTCTATCATATCCCTTTAGCGAGCATGGTGACCTGTCCTTTTTGCTCATTGCCTGGTTTCAAGCCGAAAAGGACTAGGTACGAGTCGGTAAATTATGAGATAAGCAACTATTGATCCATATAGTCAGACAGAGCACACCGGGATTCACAAAATCCCCAAGTTTGGTGTTAATTAGGCAGTTTTGACTGAGATACAGCCATTTAAAAACGTCAAAATTAACAAAGAAATGTTTGGTCATCCGGACACAACGTCCGGATGGCCACACATTTCTTATTAAATTTTGACATTTTCAAATGGTTGTATCTTGCTTACTATTGGGTCTATTTACACCAAACTTGGGGATTTTGTAAAGCTTGGTCTGCACTTGACTATGTGGATCAATACTTGCTAAACCCATAATTTACAGACTCGTACCTAGTCCTTTTCGGCTTGAAACCAGGCAATGGATGGCGTAGTCTTCCATGAGCTTAGAGGGCAGTCCAATGGCACTCACTCACTCACTCACTCACTCGATTCTGATTAATTTATTCATAAAGTTGGAGTAAACATTTTTCCTCCTACCTCCCCTGCTAAGTATTGTTTTTGTCCCGAAGACTTCTGCGTATATCTTTAGCAGGTTTTATGGGGGTATTAGAATTTTTTGTCCAACAATATGGCGTAACGCGGCACAGAGGTCGAAGATGGTTTTTTGTTCGATCTGTAAGCAGGCATTCCTTCACGTCAGGCATATTTTGCAGGTTGAAGGTTGCAGGTTGAAATTTAATTATAAATGAAAACCGCTGACACTAAAAATAATTAATAACCTATATACTCGTGAGAGGTTCTTACATAAAGTAGTTCGCGTCTTTCACATATTGAAAACACGATCGATCCGCTATAAGTACTTATCGATCGACACGCTTATCGCATGAGACCAGTGAAATCTATTCAAAGCCATCTGGATGGCTGCTTCACAGATGTTTCCATCGATTCCAGATTTGGCTCGGGTTTTCCCTCAACAACAGAAGATTGCCATCACAAATGAAGCAAATGAATAAAGAAATGAAATAATATAAGTCTTTAACATTTTAACCGACGGAATATACTAGCAGAAGCTTAGTGTGCTTTCATTTTGGTACTGACAGGGAAGAAACCAAATTCAGCAGATAATTCAGATGATATTTCAGATGTTTCTTCAAAAACGATAATTCATTGCAGGCTTCAATAATGGGGATAGGGGGTACTTTGGGAATTTCTGGGTGGGGATGTGCAGCTGAGACCCTGGAACCCTTAGCCTATACCAGAGCTAATATCAGTTGAATTTTGCTACCCTATACTAGAGTAAACTACTCAAATTCCCCCAGCTATCGACACTGTTGAGGTTGAATTGCGTAAATTTAAACTTGCCGATTTGATTTTTTCATATATTTTTGAGTGGCAATTCCTAGTTTCCTTAGTCTAGATAAGATCTTCAACCAACTGGTCAGTTTTGTGAAAAATGTTACCCTATTCTAGACCAAACGTTCTGATTTATATACCCTATCCTAGAGTAAACTGCTTGAAAACCATACCCTTCACAGCGGCACATACCTATATCGCCCATATATGGCAGTTCCCCCCGGGGAACATACTCTCCTCCCATCGCTTCGGCCGGTTTAGCACTTAGGTGGAAGCCACCTTACGGATCGATTGTAAACTGCGTCATGTAACAGTCACGGTAAGTCTACCACCTGCGCGTTTCTTTTAAGTGCCAGCGGTTTTCCAGTTTATTAGAATTAAATTTTAACCTGCAACGTGCAACCTGCAAAATATACCTGCCGATTCCTTCATAGGTTGAAAAATGGGAAGTTATTACGCTAAGAAACTCTTGCTGCGACAAATAGACAACGAAATTCTATAAGCGACGATACTTGCAACGAAATCTTAAAAGCTACGATGTCTATCGACCGTGGGCTGTAGACGAATAGATGGAATCGTTTAAAAAATTTTTTTATGCTTTACGTCCCCCGGAGGAGGAATGAAATGAATGCCGTGTCATCTGGAAGCTAAGACAAGCCTCCTTTTCTTTTAAAACCTATGCATATAAGAGCACTTTTGAGTAATAGTAATTAGATTCTTTCGTTCGGAAACTGCTCGATTCCGAAGAAAATAGTCATATGACAAAGCACATGGAGAGCCATTTTGTATCACTTTACAGAGTTGACTTCTGTCAGAATTATCTGAGCCGCTCTTACATGTAGAGTAACATCAGTACCTTATATTGGGACTACAATTAAATGAAACTACTAGAACCCATCATTAGGGAACACAAGAAGAGAATGTGTTAATCTGTCTCTATTAATTAAGTGCAAGTCTGCCAATGTTTATTTGAAGTATAAGCTATCCTAACTGTTCCAGCTTTTACCTGTTGAATTTTCATTTAACTCTTAAAATGGTTGTTATCATGCTGTATTTCTACTATGTGTGTCCTGCTGCTGTAAAGATTATGTTATTTATAACTCAATAAAAAATGTATAACCTGCATGTAAAGGATCTACTGTTGGCTACAATGTCTCCTCTTAGCTTTTATGTGCTACATTATGGTAGTCAGTATTTCAGTGGACGTAATAAGAAAGAAACTATTCCTGTTAAAAGCAGTGTTCATCTTAATTTTTGTTGTTGTGCTCTGTTGAAATCTATTTCAAAATATATGTAATAAATAATTATTTATTATAAAATGATTTTACCAAAGAACGAATTCAGCTACATAAAGGGTTTCATACATACATACAACCTTTATTTATACACGATAAAAGACGTCAAAGCTAACAAGCTTGTGGGGTCGTGTACTAATAAGATACATAAAATAGGCAACCATATGTGGACATCAGAACCTGTGCATCACATTTGACCAAAAGATGTCTATTTTCCTGTTTTTGACTGTAGTACCAAGCAGAACTCTACAATGATCAATTTCTCTTCTCTTTTTATTCAACTACCTTTTCTACATTCATCCAATAGGCCATTTCCGAGTTGCCTTTTACCTCTATGTCAAAACGAGTCTAAGTGCAAAACCATAAGTATGACGTCCGCCTACAGGTTCATTTCCATGCAAATCAAATGCAGTTTCACATGAAGACTCGTTTTGAAACTGAGGCACAAGGAAACATTCATCCATGAGCTGGCTCACAGGAGCCTTTGATTATTGTATGTTTTGAAACGGTGCTTGGTAGGGAACATTCAAGGAAAGTTTCAAAAAAATTGTTCGGCAACTTTTTTTCTGAGGAATCACCTTAAACTAGCAAAGAAAGATGTAAAGTGCAAAATGTTTCTGTTGTTTCTGTTATTATTTTGTTGATGATTGTAAAAGATATACAGGCTATGAAAAAATGATTCAATAAAACCATTACAAACAAATTTTGACAAACATTTTAATCAGTGTAACTTGTAAAAGGACAAAAATAATTTCCGTTAACGATCAATAACAATCGATAACAATCGATGAATCAATTGTTATCGATTACTATCGGCAATCAACAACAATCGAACTCACAACTTTTTTCCTTCTTCGATTCAATTCTTATACCCTAAAATGCTATCGGCAATCAATATCAATCTTCAGTTGATATCGATTATCGGTCAATCGATTGATTACGCCTGGATATACTACAACATGGTTGTTTTCATGCGTGTCATAAAATTCCTAAAGCCTTTGAATACACCAATACGGCAAAAAACAGTGAAATGCTATGGGACTTGAAAAAGTACTGTTAATTAATGCTGCACATTCCTGTAGCCTGGCCATGCCTTCTCTTGTGATTGCAATAGGCCTTACCTCACTCTCTTGTATCACCAGACAAGAAAAGACGGGGTAAGACAACACCAACCAAAAGTTGCGTTCCTTTTCCTAGTTTAGATTTCCTGAATATTAGTTCATGTCAAATCGATTTAAGTGTCACTTTTCATATACTCTTTCCAGCACTGACCTGTCCTTTTGTTTGCCCTTGGAGTTCTTTTACACTCATTAATTTGTACAATTTACTTCTGTCAGCTCTCTCTTCTGCAGTTGCAGATAACTTGAAGGGAGAAAAAAAAAGTCAGTCTCAGTAAAAAGATGTGCTCACAAGGAAATTACAAAAAAAGATGTTGTGAATGAGGTCTACAAAATAAATACCTATTTACGAGCCTATTCATAGCGAGAGAACATACATTTTACGATCATAAAAAAGAGACCTCAACACCACACAGGAAGGAAGACTCTGAATGCTTATGAATGCCTCTGAATGCCTTTATGCTTACAGCTATTATGGATGCGAGAAGCGTGGAAATTCAGTGTGTCCACCACCCTGACCAAAGTAAAAATGTCAAACCATGTCTTATCCTTACTCGCTTTGAATCTGTGAAATTCAATACCTTTGGCAAATTGAGGGTAAATATTCAGTAGTAAAAAAAAGTCAATTTTATTATTCTCACTCAAGCTGCGGCCCGCAGCTACCACTGAGCTGCAGCATACATTCTAGTTAAGATCTAAGTTCTACATAACACTTCCTGCTTTCTCTGTAAGACTTCACTTTCTATCACTTTGCTTGGTTGTTATACATAAACCTAACTATCAAGTATAAGCACAACGACGTTGAAAAAAAAAACCGGAAAGATGTTTTTTTGGAATCTAGAGAAAAGGCATTATAAACAAGGTTTAATAACAACAAAATTGAATTCACAATATCAGACTAAGACATTCTTAGTGAATGCAAGGCTTTCAGTATTGGTTTAAGCTTCAGACAGCTTTTCTGCCAGCTGATACAGACTTCTTTCAAGTGAATAAAAGACCAGTTTAAGTGAAGACAAAAGTAAATCTATTGAAGGATGTCAAACAGAAGTGCATTGCTCAGCAGCCTTAAAAAATCATGGAAATGGGAGAGAACCCGGGAACTGATGGCCTCCAAGCTGAATTTTTTTTTCCAAAAAAATACATATTGGATCAACATTTCTGATCCTCTACTAAAATCTTCAAACTAATTAAAAGCAATCACCAAAATATTGATAAACGATCGCGAAAGAACGTAGACGGTAATTTCCACCAAAAACCAAAACGTTACATCCAACATGGCAACAAAAACTAAATAGAGGTTTATATCAGTGATTTATTGTCACATAACAATAATTCTGGAGATATGCAAGACGTACAAACTAAACTCAATAAGAAAAACCTCTAGTGAGAACTGAAAAAAGCAATAGCCAATGTCCATTACGTGTGTGTTGGACACTCCACCAACAATGCTAGCTTCCCAACTGGCTTCTTGAACAAACACGGATTGTGTCATCTTTCTCAGGAAAGATCCTAATTGTAACCCAAGTGCGGGAACAATCTCCGCTTTGGGTTTTCTCATTAAGGACAGTGGCCAAATCACCAACACTGAGATAAACAATGGTAAATACCACCTTTTCCTTTCAATTAAAGCAGGCAAATACACTTTAAGCTATCTGCTCCAGACTTGAAAAGGTGAAGTTACCTTCCATAGATCTTTCAGGAGGCTTACCAACAAAGGGGTTTGTGGCTTGACTCTTTTTGTCTTGCTTCTTCCTCTTTCAGGTCACAAGATGACACTGTAACGATGTTATGATGTCATAGGCCCTTCGGGCTTGCGCAGTAGAATGAGATATATCCCGGATGTAGTTGTTGTTGTATTACGGCTAGTAATGGCGGGCTTTTATGAGCTTTATGAAAACCGTCGTGTTATCATCGTTTGGTCTCGTTTAGACAATGCTACGTGGTGTCAGAAGTGAAACACACATAGTGCTGCCGCTCGTGGCCTGGCCGAAAGCCAACTTGGTGAGTTTTTTTGAAGTATTTTCCGTGAACTCTTCCGTCGATACTTCTGTACATGCATTATGCCACGAGTGAAGAAGACGGTGGCGCTTCGGGTACACAACCCTCGATGATAACTGTTCCTGTGAATATACCGCTTCCAGAAAGGATGG